CTGCCTCTCAGAGGCAGCACAGGCAGGTGCTGCAGAGAGCATGGGGTGAGTGGGGACTGCTTGAGTGCCTGCTCGCCCTGTGCTCCCTGCAGCACTTCTGCTTTTGAGGGCTCTTTACATTACAAAAGCAGAAGTGCCCACAGTGGGAATGGCTAGGGTTGCCAGATGATTTCAACAAAGAGGCAGTGGGGGGTGGGGAGGAGGAGCAACACTGGGGAGATGGTGCTGGGGGAGGAGCTGGGTCTCCTCAGCACAGACTCCTGTCCCCCTCCCTTTGCTGCCTCTATGGGGGGTGCTGCAGAGAGCATGGGGTGAGTGGGGACTGCTTGAGTGCCTGCTCGCCCTGTGCTCCCTGCAGCACTTCTGCTTTTGAGGGCTCTTTACATTACAAAAGCAGAAGCGCCCACAGTGGGAATGGCTAGGGTTGCCAGATGATTTCAACAAAAATACCGGACACACTTGACATTACATCACAATCTACGTGACATCTTATTTAAAAAATATCGGACATTTCTATTTTCTCAATTTGTTTCCCGAACAGAAAGCTCAAATACTGGACACCTGGCAACCCTAGGAATGGCATGAATGGGAACTGAAGCAGTCCCCGCTCGTGCTGTTTCCCCACTGTGCCTCTGCTTCTCCTGCCAAGATTGTGCTGGAGGGAACCGGCTGGGGGGAACCAGCTTCCCCCCCAGCACCAGTTCCTGCTCCCCCCACCCTTGCCACCTCTCTCTGATAGAGGCGCAGGGGGGAAGCAACTAGTTGAGTTGCTACTCGACTATCCGATAAGCATTTTCTTATCGGATAGTTGACTAGTTGTTAACATCCCTAACGGGCACCTCAACAGAACAGCATTTGCTAGGATTTTGCACTAACCAGAGGCATTGCATGAGGCTTCTCTTTGCCACCTGTGAGTGCAAAAGTAATGACATTACTCTGTCATTGCATGTTCTTTGGCCCAGATTCTGCCAGGTACGCTAGTGTTCCACTCCTGGCTTATACCGAAGGAGATTCAGCCATGTGTCTCCACAAACTACACAGAGAGGATCCATGTATTTTTTCTTTTTAATTCAATCAATCACAAACTCAGGGTATGTCTACACTACCACCCTAGTTCGAACTAGGGTGGTAATGTAGGCAACCGGAGTTGCAAATGAAGCCCGGGATTTGAATTTCCCGGGCTTCATTTGCAACTCCGGTTGCCTACATTACCACCCTAGTTCGAACTAGGGTGGTAATGTAGGCAACCGGAGTTGCAAATGAAGCCCGGGATTTGAATTTCCCGGGCTTCATTTGCAACTCCGGTTGCCTACATTACCACCCTAGTTCGAACTAGGGTGGTAATGTAGGCAACCGGAGTTGCAAATGAAGCCCGGGATTTGAATTTCCCGGGCTTCATTTGCAACTCCGGTTGCCTACATTACCACCCTAGTTCGAACTAGGGTGGTAATGTAGGCAACCGGAGTTGCAAATGAAGCCCGGGATTTGAATTTCCCGGGCTTCATTTGCAACTCCGGTTGCCTACATTACCACCCTAGTTCGAACTAGGGTGGTAGTGTAGACATACCCTCAATGTTTAGTAAGATTAGGAATCTTCGTGCTCATATATTCAAGGAATTTTAATTTTCCACAACAATATTGCAAAAGCAATTTCAGAAAAAGGGCACTCATGGAAAGCTCACATAGACAATACATTATGGTTACTCAACACATGCAGAGGACTAGAAAAACAGAACAGAGCTATTTAATGTGAAGGTGCTGGTCACAACTTCATACTTAAGGTTGCTTCGAGAATTTGTTGTTTTTTTAATTTAAAGCAGGGTTTTAGTCTGTTTTTCTGAAGATTGCAATATATATTCCCCAAACGTATACCATAATCTGCGATGAGACTGAATTTTATGAGGATATACAAGTAAAGTGGCTAATTAGTTTGATTTTAAAATAATGAGCAGCCCCAGTCACTTGCCAGCACCGCTGTCCTTTCCCGGGCGTGCACCTTGGACAGGGTGGCTTAACTCCTCGCAGCTCACCTCTGCTGCACATATTTATTCAGGGCACTGCTTCTACAAGCCCCCCGCAGGCCTCTGCTGCGATGGTCAGGCCATTTAGAGAGGCAGTACAGCCCAGCCACCTCACTGTCTTGGACACCAGAGCAACACCCTTTGTGCAGGCCAGTCATCACAATTAACAGCTACAAACATGGCACAGGACTGTTGAGGGGAAGGGGGTGGTTTCTCATTGCGGACAGAGCTGATGCTGCAGAGGTACTGGTGCGTCTGACTAAAAATGCACTGGCTACAATGTTTGCCTAAACCAAAGCCCGTCTGAATGCTGGCAGCTCTTCCAAGCTTGTACTTATTCCTCCAGACCTTAAAAACAACCAAGGGAAATGGCTACCAGCTGCTTAAAAGCAGTTTCAAGGCTGGAATCTGCATGAGCCACGCAGCATGTGACGTATTCCAGGTATTGCTTTTAGCCTACACCACAGGGTGTATAACTTGTGTTGCCAGCGACCCAGAATGAGCAAGTCAGCTGAGCAGAAGCATGGGCTGAGGCCCTGAACCCAAGCTCAGGCGAAAGGAAGCACTCCCCTGAAGTGAGGAGCAGAGCAATGGCTGAGACCCAAGGCAAATGGCCTTGAGCAGGGCTCCTGTACTCAACATGCCAGATTACAAAAAGGAAGATGAGAAAGGTTTGCTTTGAGGGTAAGGCAATCTGTCAGCCATTCCCACTGGGTGCTGCAGGAATATCCGATTTCCAACACTGCAGATTTGGCGCGCACACACTGTCAATCTCAGGTGCAGCTGAGAATCGCTCAACACAGAATACTGTGTCGCTGCCAGGCCACACGAGTGAAATGTTTTCGGGGCAGGGAGCAATTCTACTACAGGCAAGCAGCCTACACAGGTGGTGCCCCCCCCCAACCTAGCCCAGCTGACAGATTGTCAAGGGTCTCACCCATGAGCAACTTACTGAACTGGAAGTCATGAGGAGATGCAAGTGTCCAGTGCCTTTGAAAAACAGGCCTAGAGCCCCAAGAAACCCCAAACAGACCAAGGAGGCAGGCAAGCAGGCATCGGGCTCCCAATGGTAAAAGCACAGGTGGATCCCCGGGAGCTATAACGGAGCAAACTGAGCTGATCAGTGCAGATCAGTCGGGTGTTTGAAGACAGTTCTTGCACACACAGATGTTGCTTCGTTGAGACCGTAACGGGAATCAGCATCTCTCAAACAATGGACTAAGAAAGCGACACTCAGATGAAGCCACTGAGAACTGTTTCTCTCACCACATGCTCCTTGTAGCAGTTGCACTTAACTACATAGGCATAGGAGCTGAGAGACTGCAGCTGCTGAGGCTTTTGCTGCTGCACACACAGAATCATAGAATAATAGGACTGGAAGGGACCTCGAGAGGTCATCGAGTCCAGCCCCCCGCCCTCAAGGCAGGATCAAGCTCCGTCTACACCATCCCTGACAGATGTCTATCTAACCTGTTCTTAAATATCTCCAGAGAGGGAGATTCCACCACCTCCCTTGGCAATTTATTCCAAATTTGGTGCTTGTCACAAGCACCAAACTACACACCTCCACCCACAAGTATGTCACAGACTTATTTTTGAATAGCGAACATTAAAACACAGTGCAACTCACTTAATTTACTCACTGTGGAGCTTAATTAAAAACTTCAGCAGTCTCATCATTTAGCTCCCAGCTTTTTATTTAGGTTTGGTCAGTTTAACATAGGGACATAGTAACTGTCACATTGGATCAGGTGGTTCATCTAGTTGGCAAAGTTCTTTTCTCGGAGTGGCAAATACCAGATACATCAAAGGAAGCTCATGCAAGAAAACCCAAAGTGGATCAGTGGACAGTTGTGGAATAACCGGTCCACTGAGGGAATATTTTCCTAGACCACTTACTTTAGTGATTGGCTTATACAATTCTCATGCTTCTGATGATATGCAATGTAAGTATAATTTTAAAGTGATCCTATTTGACATAACTGTAGCATTACTGGATAAATAAAAATACCTAGTTATAGAAATTTGCCTTTTCAAGTAAAAATTCTAAAATTTTGAATATGTGCAAAAGAAAAGAAAAAAAAATCAATAAAAAAAAAAAAACAACCACAACTGTAAGTTGCATTTTCAAGGCATTTACAAGACACAAAAGTGAAATTTTCAAAAATGCTCATTTTTGGCTCCTCTCTGCTCCTGGTATTGATTTTACTGGGTACAGCATTCAGTCAAAGCAGAAAACTCTCTTAAAAATCAAAGTTATAGGGCCTTTCTTGTGCCAGTAACTATTTTATTAATTTATTCCATAGACAAAACTGTGTGGAGTTTTATCCGGTCTTCCTGGTTGCTCTTTGGATTGCAGGCTGGTTTTTCAATCAAGGTAAACACAACTGGTTTTTTATTTTGGCCTAAACAATGTTTTATCAGCTGTAATAGTTTCAGTTGAACACTAAGGTTTATTAGATTTCCTTTAATTGGCTTTAAATATGTTTCCTCTTTATGTCATTGAGTGCCCCTTGTTCCTGTGTTATAAGGGAGAATATATATAAAGGCCCATGAGTGGTCTTGATATTTTACAAGTCTCTGTCTGACCAACTTTTAGTCTTGGTTTATTTCCACTGACTTCATTAGGCTTTAGGTCAGACCAATTCGGGAGTGCTTCCCAATTATCATTAAGAATAGTTTTCATTATGCTTCTCTAGAGAGCAAATAAATCTCTGACCATTCAAATGTACCCTCACCGTCCTGGTCGAGGCCTTGCGATCGACCAGTCGATTGTGATCGACCGGTTGGTGACCATGGATCTAGACAGTGCTTGGTCCCGCTGTGAAGGCAGGGGACTGGACTTGATGACCTCTTGAGGTCCCTTTCAGTTCTATGATTTTATGACTTCCCATTTTTCTGGCACAACCAAACCCTGACCTTGCTCTAAGTTAGAATAAGAGAAAGCTGCATAGCAAATTTGGTGGTCCTAGCTCTTACCGTGTAGGAGGAGCTCTTGAACAAATGGACTTGCAGATGGATCAACTCATAGACAGATGCACGCACTCTAAAATATACATAGATAGACAGATTGTGGGCTGCCTTTTTTTCAGTAGATTTGAAAGGGTAAAAACCTGGCACATCTAATTTTCATTCATACCTCTAGTATTTCCTTAATTTATATGTATTTCTAGAATATTGCCCCTTGCTGCAGTTATTTTACTCCATTGACCATGTTGTATTTGTTGTAGAACAATTAGGGAGATGAGTCAGAATCCCATTTCATTTTGTCCTGCCAGAATCATTCTGTTACTGAGTGTTTACTCCACACTTGCCCTGAAAGCACAAATGCAGACTGAGAAGGGGACTGACTAACCCAACAAGGCTCAGTGGAGAGATGGGTGGCTAAGCAATCCCCTGATTGAATAAGGAAGCCCAGCTGAGGAGGAATGAGCTGGGCTGAGACTGTAAAGGCAAGAAAAGGGCAGCAGAAGGGGGCTGCTTGGAAAGTTTGCAGTCTTCTTCTGGGAGACGAGAGGTGCATTTGGGCTGGCAAATCGGGGAAGGGAGGAAGTTAGGAATATATAGGGGCCTTGAGCCAGAACCTGGAGTAAAGGGCAGGCCTGTGTTCCCTGCCAGACACAGAAGGAGTAGCGTTACAAGGAAGTCAATAAGTAGGCTGCATAGGACTGCTGAAGAAGACATTGATATCCCAGAAAGGAAAAACACGTGGAGCGATTATCTGGAGGGCTAAGTCACAAAGAGGTGGCAGCTCACAGCAGAGGGGCTACAGACCAGAGAGAGGCAGATAATTACGTGCAACCATGGGAAGGGATGTTGACCTTTCAAGGTATTCTCCTGAATGACCAGGAGGAATGGTGAGTCGAGCACTCCGTCACAATCAGGTTCCTGGGGGAACCCAGGGGAGAATAAATGGGAACTTCCTGAAACGAATAAAAAAAACTTAAAAAAACAACAAATAGTCTGGTAGCACTTTAAAGGCTAAAAATATGTAGATGGAATCATGAGCTTTCGTGGGCACAGCCCACTTCTTCAGATGACTTCTTCAGGGTTGTCTGAAGAAGTGGGCTGTGCCCACGAAAGCTCATGATTCCATCTACATATTTTTAGCCTTTAAAGTGCTACCAGACTATTTGTTGTTTTTTTAAGTTTTTTTTATTCGTTTCAGGAAGTTCCCATTTATTCTCCCCTGGGTTCCCCCAGGAACCTGATTGTGATGGAGTGCTCGACTCACCATTCCTCCTGGTCATTCAGGAGAATACCTTGAAAGGTCAACATCCCTTCCCATGGTTGCACGTAATTATCTGCCTCTCTCTGGTCTGTAGCCCCTCTGCTGTGAGCTGCCACCTCTTTGTGACTTAGCCCTCCAGATAATCGCTCCACGTGTTTTTCCTTTCTGGGATATCAATGTCTTCTTCAGCAGTCCTATGCAGCCTACTTATTGACTTCCTTGTAACGCTACTCCTTCTGTGTCTGGCAGGGAACACAGGCCTGCCCTTTACTCCAGGTTCTGGCTCAAGGCCCCTATATATTCCTAACTTCCTCCCTTCCCCGATTTGCCAGCCCAAATGCAGCTCTCGTCTCCCAGAAGAAGACTGCAAACTTTCCAAGCAGCCCCCTTCTGCTGCCCTTTTCTTGCCTTTACAGTCTCAGCCCAGCTCATTCCTCCTCAGCTGGGCTTCCTTATTCAATCAGGGGATTGCTTAGCCACCCATCTCTCCACTGAGCCTTGTTGGGTTAGTCAGTCCCCTTCTCAGTCTGCATTTGTGCTTTCAGGGCAAGTGTGGAGTAAACACTCAGTAACAGAATGATTCTGGCAGGACAAAATGAAATGGGATTCTGACTCATCTCCCTAATTGTTCTACAACAAATACAACATGGTCAATGGAGTAAAATAACTGCAGCAAGGGGCAATATTCTAGAAATACATATAAATTAAGGAAATACTAGAGGTATGAATGAAAATTAGATGTGCCAGGTTTTTACCCTTTCAAATCTACTGAAAAAAAGGCAGCCCACAATCTGTCTATCTATGTATATTTTAGAGTGCGTGCATCTGTCTATGAGTTGATCCATCTGCAAGTCCATTTGTTCAAGAGCTCCTCCTACACGGTAAGAGCTAGGACCACCAAATTTGCTATGCAGCTTTCTCTTATTCTAACTTAGAGCAAGGTCAGGGTTTGGTTGTGCCAGAAAAATGGGAAGTCATAAAATCATAGAACTGAAAGGGACCTCAAGAGGTCATCAAGTCCAGTCCCCTGCCTTCACAGCGGGACCAAGCACTGTCTAGATCCATGGTCACCAACCGGTCGATCACAATCGACTGGTCGATCGCAAGGCCTCGACCCGCCTCAATTCCCCCCCATCCCCAAGAAACCCCGCTACCTACCTCCAGCAACAATAGAGGTAGTGCCAGCTTCCGACAGGGTAGACGGAAGTCCTGCAGCTTTGCACCACTTCCGGTGCTTCCGGAAGTGCGCTGGCTGCTCCCTTCCCACAGGTCTGTGGCGTGCCAGGTGCACTGAGGGAGGGAGCGTTGGCCCCGGAGGAGGAGCACGGCAGCTTCCCTGCACTGCAGGAGGGGTGAGTTGACCCTAGGGCAGGCACGCACATGGGTTTCCCCATTCCGTGAGGGGGGGGTTGGCCCCGGGGGAGTCACACACCCGCTGCCTTCTGGGGGGAATCCTGGGAGGAGGCGGGTGCAGGAGACTCCCTGCCCCCACTGGCACCCCACCACCCAAGCCTCCTCTTCCCACTCCCCAGCCACAGAACTCTGTCCCCAGTGGCACCCTGTCCCCAGCTGCAGAACCCTGTCCTCTCCCCTCCCAGCACCCTGTTCCCTCTCCCCTGCCTCCAGCTGCAGAACTCTGTCCCCACTGGCACCCTGTCCCCTACCGAAGCACCCACTAGCACCGTTCCCCAGTACTATGTCCCCTGCTCCCACCAACACAGTTGAGGCCACATTAGTGAAGCTTGGGGGGGAGGGGTTGCAGGGGATGTTTTTTGCATTTCACTTGTGTGGCCCCAACTGACTTTTCTGTGGGTCAGTGACCCCTGACTCAAAACAGGTTCCCCACCCTTCTCATAAATAAAGACAGTGTAGAAACTTTGTGTATTTGACATAGTATTTTATTTAAAAATGAAGCCTGGCCAACAAACCCCCAACTGGGGCCAAGCCACCATCTGGCCACAGCATCATAACACTCCTGAACTCCCCTTTCCCCCAGACCCTACATCTGAACCTATCATACACTGGAACCCCTTGCCCTGAGCTCCTCACATACCCCAACCCAAATTCCTGATCCCTCACATCGAGAAGTCTGTGGCTTTTTTAGTACCCTAACCCTCCATCTGACCCCAATACATCGGAGCCCCCTCTCCGAGCCAGCATCCCCTTATGCACCTCCTCCTGCATCCAGATTTCCTCCCAGAGCTTGCACCTCTCACCCCTTCCCACACTCAAATCCCTCATTCCCATTCCAGAGCCTGTCTCAACCCAGCGAGGGTACAGCTAGACTGCAGGAGTTTTTCAGGATTCTGGAGATATCCCAGAAAAACTCTTCTGCATCCAGGGATGCATTTGTTCTTCCGCTTCTGTTAGTGGAAGAGCAAACATGATCTTTCAGTCACCCCTATATTCCTCTTTCCACGAGGAATAAGGGGGCTTCCAAAAGAAGGGTTTTTTCTGACATTTGGTCCAGTCTAGACAGGCCAAATTTTGGAAAAACCTCTTCCTACAGAAGAATTGGAGGGAGGGGGGGAAGCAGCAGTATAAGGGTTGGGGATAGCAAGAGATGGAGAGGAGGAGAATAGAGAGGGTGTGTCTTCAAGGAAGGGGCGGGGTGGTAGATCTTGGCTTGTTCTGTCATTTAAAAAGTGATCTTGGGTGTAAAAAGGTTGGAGATCACTGGTAGATCATCCCTGACAGCTGTCTAACCTGCTCTTAAATATCTCCAGTGATGGAGATTCCACAACCCCCCTAGGCAATTTATTCCAGTGTTTAACCACCCTGTCAGTTAAGAAGTTTTTCCTAATGTCCAACCTAAACCTCCCTTGCTGCAGTTTAAGCCCATTGCTTCTTGTCCTATCCTCAGAGTCCAAGGAGAACAATGTTTCTCCCTCCTCCTTGTAACACCCTTTTAGATACCTGAAAACCACTATCATGTCCCCCCTCAGTCTTCTCTTTTGTAAAGTAAAGAAGCCCAATTCTTTCACTCTTCCCTCATGGGTCATGTTTTCTAGACCTTTAATCATTTTTATTGCTCTTCTCTGGACCTTCTCCAGTTTCTCCACATCTTACTTGAAATGTGGTGCCCAGAACTGGACACAATACTCCAACTGAGAACTAATCAGTGTAGAGTAGAGCAGAAGAATGAC